GTTATCTTCTTTGTCACTACCTGTGGCATCAGATCAGTTCCTATTAACTGATTTTCAATTAAGTGAAGCATCATATTGAAATATCCTGAGCTAGAAGAACGGGAGTCCTGGAGACTACCAGGATAGAGAGGTCTTGAGATATCTGGGATAGATTAGATTAGAAACCTTTCTTCATGCAATCCTTTCAGTAATACAACTATAAATCTTAGCCCCTGATCGATAGAAGGCCAGAATTCCCATTTTCCTGCAACTTAACCTGATTTCAAACTTGTTTCAGATGATTGGGTATAACTTTTACAAGATAACTGGTAAAACCTGATCAAAAGGTAATTTTTTATTTTTGATCCTTAAGTGATATTAAACTACAGACCTTGTGATTGTGACCTTATATACTGTATATATATTTATTATAATTTAATATAAAAAATTATATATAAAATTATGAAAAATTATTTTTGAATATAAAATTAATAAAATTATTTATAATTAATTTCTTTAATAATTATATATTTTTTATTCTTTTGTTTTAAAAAATAATATATTAACTTTTTATAATATTTAATTAAATTTTGATAAAGTTGTATATAAAAACTATTTTAAGTATATTTAAATTTACTTTTTTAAATTAAAATTTGAACCTAAAAAAATTTTTTTTTCATAAATATTTATTTAAAAAAGTTTATATTTTGCTCTTATAAATAATATATTAAATTTTATAATATTTCAATAAATTTTAATTAAATTTATATATGACTAATTAAATACTATTAATATTTTGTAAATTTCAATATTACACATTGTATATTATAACTAAACTCTTATAAATTAATTTAACAAACTCATTGTAAACAATAAAAACTTTCAAGTTTAATTTTAAAAACAATATTTTACTTTATAATAAATTTTAGATAAATATTTTTTTAATTTATATATTATTGTTAAAATTGTTTGTTTTTTTATAAAGTATTTTTAAATTATCAATAGTTATTTATTATTTTTAAAACTAACTAATAAATATTTTTATTATATATATATACTGTATATATTTTTTATTTACAATATGTTATAATAGGACCTGTGGATCTATAGCACAGTGGTAGTGCTCCTAGGTCACAATCACAAGGTCTAGAGTTCAATACTACACAAGGGTCAAGTGAAATTTAACTATCAGTGATACAAAAATCTTATCTACCCCATGGTGATAATCCGATACCCTAGCATAGCTATAACAAGGAATCGATCATTTATCATATCCATAACAAAATAGAAAATCAGTCTAGTGTGCAAGCTAACTCCCCAAAACAGGTTTCAAACAAGATAAGGCTAAGTAGTATGACATCCTTAATCAAGACTGATCTCCTATCTAAGTAGCAAAGTTGTGCAGTAAGGTGTTCCAATATTTAAGAAAAATACAAGATAGGTTTTCTAAAGAGGCAAAGATGTGTTGCTATAAGAAGACAGGTGATAACAAAAACAAGACAGGTCCCCTATAAAAAATATATACATTAACAGGAATCATAAAGATCTCGTATAAGAGACCCTGATACCGGTGATACTAGACATCTTAGGTAAGTTCTTAACATATTAGCTTTTCTTCACAGGGATAGCAATAAGTCATCCAGTAGACTACAGTTCTAGTGAGTGTCGCTTTGATTGGATGAGGTTATACAAACATAGTTTAAAAACTGGTTGGTACTCCATTAAATTGGAATTAAAACACCTCTCAGTACCTCTGACTTTGTTAAGAATTAAGAAAAAATCCTACATTAGATGGTCACATAGTTCCCCTATCCTGGTTGTGTGAGACATAAATAGATACCCCTTGTACTATTTATTGATCTATAAATCCTTAGATAATATGGGTAATTACTTATTTTGATTGTTTCTAGGATCTATTTTAATAATTAATAAAGGTTCCGATACTGACGCAAGAATGAGCTAATGAGTTAAAAAAAAATTTTTTTACAATATATTATAATAACATATTTTTATTGAAAAATTAAATCAAAATCTATAATATATTACAAATTTTCATAAAGTAACCAATATATCTTTATATATAAGTATTTTAAATTAGATTTTGAAAACAATATTATGATTTTAATATATTAATTATGATTTCTATTTATCAGGATAGGACCTGTGGATCAATAGCACAATGGTAGTGCTCCCAGGTCTCCAACTACTGTTTTTGAGTTCAATACCACTGCGAGGCAGTTGTTTCCCAAGCCTAGATAGTACAGAAAGATCCCATTCGTCTCATGATGATGATTACTGCCACTCATGGCCAAGATCCCATCTGATCACAGGATAACCAAAGATCACAAAATGCTTCAGCTAGTTTTAGTGCTGAAGTCACCTCATCACAAACCTAGATTCTAACACGCTCCTGCAGATAGGCTGAAGATCTGCATGCTACTAAGAAGGGTCTAGTGGAGCTTAGGCACATTAGTTAGAAGAGAGTCTCTACCAAAAATCGCAATTTATTCAAGACTCCACGTGATCACCCCATAGACAGGCTGTAATAAGTCATGTAAAAAGAGTCACCGGTGTGACGAGATGATATCTAAGACTCCACGTGAATATTCCGTAGATAGACTGTAATAAGTACTATAAAAAGAATATCTGGTGGGATGAGATATGAAAGGGGCCCTGTATTACAGACCCAGGGCCTACCGAGCATTATATGTGAAGGTCTTTGAAGGGTAATACAGACGTAGACAGTAGGGTAATAGGGTTTCTTCTGGCAACAAGTTATATTGGCAGGCTAACAACCTAAAAGTAAGTCTGCATTAGTACTATACTATAATAGACATTTAATTCCGTATCATATTCCCCAAAATATATATAGTCAGGTGCACATTGTATATAACTGGAACTCCCTGTTACATGTATAACTTCAATGTATAAGACTAAGTCTTGTTATTCTCTAAAAAAAAAAAAAAAAAAATTTATTAGGATTATTATCAATAGTTTATTATTATAGATTAATCTAAAAATTAATGAATTGTTAAGTTAAAAGGAAAAAGAGAAAAATAATTAAAAGAAAAAGACAATTCAAGATCTTATCATAAAAGTTTAAAAATATAGTCATCCTTTTTTAAAGAATTGTTTGATTAAGATATTTTTCTTATTTTATTTGAACTTTGAAAAAAAAATCTTTTTTATTATTATTTATAATATCAAATAAATTATTTTAACTGATTTTTTATTTAAACAAGTATTAGATTAAATATTTTAAAGAAAGTATTCAAACCTTAGCTTTTATTTATTAAAGTTTTGTTATCATTTAAAAAACTTAAAAAAGATATAAAAATTTGTAATCTACATTATTTATTTCTTAGTCTTTTAATATTATAGATATCTTCTTTAAAAAACTTGGACTTCTAAAGAATAAATATTTCTAAATCATTTTTTTTAATTTTTAATAATATCATTAAGACACATAAGTATGATTAATAAAAACTTGTTTATATTTCAAAAATAAATATATTTATATCAGTCAATCACTTTTGAAAAAGAATTTGTATTATACAAAATTTAGAGTCAAATTAAAATAGATAAAATTTCTAGAAAACTATAAAAGTAAAAGTTTTAAGAGTAACAAGACAGTTCAAAAAAGAGAAAATAAACCTTTTAAATATAACAAAATCTTTATAAATCTTTTATTTCAAAGGTTAAAAAGATCTTTATATATTTCATAGTTAATTTTTCTTTCTTTAAAAACTTTCTTGCTATTGATATCAAAGATATTACTTACTTTTCTTGACTACTGTAAGTCAAGTTTTTAGAAAAAAAAAGTTTATAAAACAATAGAGATGAAATAGAAATGACTTTTGAAGTCAAACTTCAAGTTGTTTTAAGAAAAATATTAAGACTTTATTAGTAAAGAAATAAAAAACTTCTTGTAAACATCTTTTTTGTATATAATCAAAGAATCAATAAAAAGAGATTTTTATATAAACATTGTAATTATATTATATACTAATATGATTTTATATTGTTATCTAATATAATTGTTTTTTTTTTATACTTGTTTATTCAAAAAAAATAATGTTATTGAGTATATTTTTATATTTGATTTTTTTTTATATCAATTTCTTTATATAATACTTGAATAGCAATTGTAATTGAGCTGACTAATTAAAAAAAAAAACTTGAAAAGCAATTGTTAAACTATAATTAAAATCTAATCTATTAATTACAGTGTATCCCATAATAACTTTGTTTTTTTTTGTTTTTTTCTTGTTGAATGAGAATTGCGATTTTTTAGAACATAAAGATTTTGATCATTTTGCATTGGCAAGAAATTGTCTCATCCCATTTTTTGTGCAACTTGCTAAGGACCTATTTCTTCAACATAGGCAAGTATCTTTTCTTTCTTCGTGTTGATCAGCTGGATATAGTGACATGTCATATTGAGCTAGTATTTTTTTTTCCTCACGTTTAGTTGACGGTCGAAGGGATAAACAAGAAAAAAGTGAAATCTCAAAAATATCAAAATAGGGGTAAACGTAACACTTTTATTCGCCCTTGTGATTTAATTACTAAATCGAGCGTTACTTTTGGCGTCGACTGCACAAGGGAAAATGATGATATTAAAACATGAGATCTTTCTGAATTAAATCTTTTATTTTCGAGTGTATATAATAAACTATTAAAGTTGCACGAAGAGTAAAATACCCAACTGAGGATATTTAAAACAGAAAACGAAAACCAAATGATAGACGGGAAGAATATACTGAAAACTAATGAAGTTAATGAACAGGGAAACTAAACATTGTACTAAGCTATAATTAAATGTTTGAAATAACTTATTGTTCGTGTAACCTGTTCATGCATTTCATGACCAATCGAAGCTTTCAATTTGCGACTCTTAATAAGGTGCGTATGATGCAGCACGCCGCCCTCTGCATTATCAAACCGGAAAAAAAGAGGATGCAAATTTCTTAAGTACGGATTACTTTTTAAGCCAATGTATTATACATGATGTATCCATTTTACCTTGGACGACCTCCTCTAAAAGTTGGGCCAAAGTAGGCGCCGTGACCATAAAATGCACCTCGCCAACTAGCACGACCTCTAACTCCCCTTCCTCTAGCAAATCCGGGGATATTTGTGCGTTTCGCGGTAACCTAAGGAAAAAATTTTTATAATTTTTGTGGTTGCAATAAGACGACGACAGTTAATTTTGTTAATCGATCTGTACTTACCTTGATCGGACGTCCACGTAATACTGTGTTATCCAACAGCATTGCATGAGCAACTAATGAGGGATCCGCAAATTCTACATAAGCGTAGCTACGAAAATAAATAGGTGGAAATGTCATTACTGAAAAAAAAAAAGAAAAGCAAAACTGCCATATAAAACATAATTCTCCTGTTCGTTACCCTTTCGGATGGCCGCTGTACTTATCACAGAGAATTGTTACTCGATTTATTGTACCACAAGATTGAAAATGATTTTGTAAATCTTCAGGAGTTGCAGCATAATCCACCTTTGGAGATTTGTGCAAATGGCTTAGCGTAATGTTGCATTTATTTGTTTTGTTTTTTTTTTTTTTAAAAAAAAGTGATTTATGATAAAATACTTACATTTCCGACGTAGATTGATCGAGCATCAATTGCTTCCTTATCATCTGCATTGTGATAATAAATTAAGAAAGTTCAAGATAAAAATAATAATTCATGCGAAAATACCTTCTGTAGTCAAATTCATTTCCTTTTCAACTTGAGCTTGCATCTCGCGGAGTTTAGCAGCTTCTTCTTCCATTTCTTTTACCCTTTGTTTCATTGCCTCGAGCTCCTTTACCAAAAAGATGGTGTGAAATTTTCCGTTTTGTAACACACCAATTATTCGAAAAGAAACTCAACGAAATAGAGTTATAATTACCGCTTCGGCATCTTCACCTTCTTCTTGGTGTTCTTGAATCTCTTCGATTTGAACGGCGGTTTGATTTTCTTCGGCCATTATGGATAATTATTTCGAAACGATGAGGAATATCTTCCAACCAAATATCCCATATAACATAGGTTTGATTTAGACTTTTTTTTTTTTCATATTATTTGATTCTCGAATTTAAGGGATCAAAAAAGAATGCCATGAACAAAGGGACCTGACAAACAAGTTGCTGGCCATTGATGTTTACTCATGACGTTGATTTATTGCATTCGTGGTTCGCTCCCACCAAAAACTCGTTTTGAGACTGCAATTTAGACAGCCCAAAACGCGAACGTGGGCAAAATAAAAACAAAGTAACAAAAGGCAAAGTGTTAAAAGACCCAAACCCAATAAAAACATACCAAATGTTATAAAGACAAGTATTTTTTTTTTTTTTTTTTGCTTGATGTCGCTGGCTTAATTTTTTATAGATCCTATTTTTATACGTTTTTTTCTCTGTTATTTTTTTGACTTTTTTTTCGCTCTTTCAAATCATTTTTTAAAACGACATCGAAGCATTTTTATGAAAAGCCATACAAACCTCGAACCAGATCTTAAGGTGTTGAAATTGTGTACACTTCAAGTGGAAGATGTCGAATTCAATGGCTTATACACATCAAAATCAAAAAAATTACCGACCAATCACATTTGGGTTTTCACGTGATAAAACATAGCGTTGAATTAACCGCCATAATAATAATAAAATATACGTTACACACATTAGCTTGATTCGTGTAACCATGAAGTTCTATTGTGAGCCAACAATTCTAGTTCATGCACGTTGCCACAGTAATAAAATAAACTGGCAGGTACGCACACTTATCTGGATCATAACACCACCAACATAGTCCTAGCCATATGTAGAATAAAAAGCGAAGCGCAACACATGAATTCAGATTATTGGATTATTGGTTAAATTCCGCAATTTTCCATAATTTGCATATAAAAGCCACCCTGAAAAACTCGGGGTATCAAATAAATAAGCACAATAAATCAGAAATCGCTATGCCATGGAAAGCGGGGAACTTGCAAAAAGACTTTCCTTATTAGAAGATCAGAAAAATTTATTACTAGCAAACGCAAAACAAAACGGTTGGTTTTGCGACGACGACGACGACTCTTCGGTAGATTATAGAGAGGAAACTGTAGAAAAATTAACACCTGTAAACATGGTCCATGCTGAAGATATATTGGTCGAACGACAAAGTCTTTCAACTTTGGAGTTCAGAGTGTATCACTTGGAAAAATCGATCTTTGGGCACGAAGCACGTTCTAATAAAGTTTTGGCTTACGAAAGATTAAAAGAGCAACTTACATTGCTAAAACGAGTTGACGAAATTAAGAAAGAGTTTAACGCTATAATCCGTGATGGAGCCGATGGATTGAAATCTTTTCTCGAGATTTGTAATAAATAAATAAATAAATAAATATACATCTATATTTTTTTTTTCGTAAAGAGCAAACCGAAAATAGACTAACTATTTTTCGTGATAATGATAAAAAAAAATAGACGACCAGGTTTCGGAACTCATATCTCCTTTCAAAGACTCGGCACTTGCAATGGAAAGAGCTATACTCACGCCTGAGGCTAAAGCAGAAATCATTTGCTCGTCGGCCGAAGAATTAGAAACGGTAGCAGAGAATTTGAAACAGATTGAGGAGTTGAAGGGTATAATTGATGCGCCCGAATTTAAAGGTATGTATTAAATGAGGGAGGTAAATTTATTGATTTATTATTTATAGATATAACTTTTTTCTACTTCTATTGTGTAGGTCTTGATAAACTCTTTCCTCAAATTACACCCATCGAAACCGAAAACATTAGCCAAATATCTAAAACAAATGAAATGTCTACTCGCTTAACATCCTTAATGGATAGATATAACAACACCGTATCCTTTTCAACCGACGTTATAAATTGTTTTCGCAAATAAACCTACCAATTTTTTTATTAACCTTGATTTGAGATTTTCATTTTTTAGATTAACACACTTTCAGAAATCTTTATTTCCTGGGATCACATTCTTTCGACACTTGACGTTAATATATCTGCGTTGGAGCGAGCGAAAGCAAGGGGTTAAAATGCTGATACTTAAGTCCACTGTACTGAAATTACTTTGGGAAACTCACACAACGTTGGGTAAATGTAATAGAGTACTTTGGTTACTAAATGCGCAGGTTTGTCCTTTGACATGGGTTAAACGATTTTCTGTCTGGGGGAATTTATTTACTTAAATATATATAATGATTTTTTTATATTTATTGTTTTTAAAGAAATCGTGATTATCTGCTACAGATTGTCTGTAGCAGGTAATCGCATTTATTTTTTATAAATTACACATGCATTTTTTTTTTTTTTTCCTTCTAACATTTTTTTTAATAAGCACAAATAAAAAAATTTTTTGCATAAATGCACTGCAAATAAAGGTCTGTGGAAACGCGTTCTGGTTAATACTATTCGCATCACATGCATTAAGGCATCTTTGGTGAAAGTTTTACATGTGGAATGATGTCAGTTTGATCAGGTTTGTGTCATCTGGATGCCTTTGCGCAATTCCTGCACGAATCAACATTCCAATATATGGCGGCCACACTATTTCTGTATCAATCCGCATGTATGGATTGTCAGGATCCGAGAATGTTCGATCCATCAAATCCTTTATTATCAATAAATCAGACGATAAAAATGAAATTTACTACTGATGACACTTATATGAAGACAATTGAGAGATGTCACTTACATCTAGGATTACTTTAAGAGATGAAGTTCTTTGTTCGTTATCTGAATCCTCATCGCTATCTACTATTATCTTACCAAGATCATTTAAATTAGTATGCACATTGCATCTTTCTTTTCTCATTGTGTGAAGAAATCAAGATTATTACGCACTCTTTTTTTTCTCAAAGTTCTGTTCAACGAAATTGTTCAATTCTTTAATTAACTCATTAAAGGAATTTTGAACATTCTCAAGTCTCTCTCGAAGATCACTGCTACTTGTAATAACTGACCTTAGTATAGAAAAAGTAAAACTGCTCAGAAAATATGTTCCATACCGAATTTCAGATTCCCGTGTAACACGTTTATCAACAAGTTGTTCGAGTCTTTCCGATAAAATTTGGTGGATAGCATTATTCAAATTTAGAGTTTCCCTTTCTCTATGCAAAATTGAACTTGGACGTTTAAAGATAAACGTTATTAGCGCGAAGAAATATTTTAATTAGACGCGTCACAAACCGCGTGATCTGTTCTTTTGTGTCTTTTACTTCCCGAATCAATTGCGGCAATGCTTTTTTATATTGTTTGACCGTCTCATGAACGTGTTTTCTCACCGAAAGTTCGCCTAGCACACGAATTCTCGTATTCGCATTCTGCTGATCTAATCAGATGTGAACGATAATACGCATTATCAAGGAGGTTGAGAGCTTGTGAATTTACATTGCCTTTGTTTTTCAATTTCTTGACTCAATAGCTGTTCTTCCGCCATCAATAAAGTAATTCTCTAAATTTTTGAGGAATTATCAGCGGATTTTGTTTTTTCATAAAGATTTTCATTATCGAATTAAAGAAAAACCTTTTTATTTTCATCCATTTCCTGATTTTGTTGTTGAAAATATTCCGTCAAAGAACGTAACTTTTTTTTATAAATAAGAAGTTATTTAACTTTCAGAGGAAAGAATTCGTGCTTAGATTATGCCATCCTGGTAATTTACTTTATTCAATTTCTCATTTTCTTGTTCACATTGAAATTGTAGGGTTTGTAGAATTTTATGAAAATCCTCCTCATTAGGATCATAAAATATACTCTGTCCAATTTGGAGAGGATTTCGTGCGAGTGGATTGGGGTTCTTCAGCAATTCAGAAAGCGAAATTTCTCCGGGATCCTCGGAACTCATAATTTTCACGTAGAGAACACGTACTATACGCGAAATAGATGCATGCACATACATGTTAATTCACGCGTGATCTCCGATTGGTTAAAATTCAGATTTAATAAAATGAAAAATATTTTTTTAAATATCAAATTCTTGAAAAAAAAATTTTTTTTTTTTTTAAACTAAAGTAAACTGTACATAAAATGTTCATATAACACAAGTTAAATATATAACTAATTCACCTGTCTTTATCAACTCGATTCTAAATATAACTTTGAAATATCCTTTAGTATATTTATTATTATTAAAAGTTAAAATTATTACTATATTAATTAGATTATTAGAAACTCTTATAATTTTATATACTGTATCTTTAGATTTTAGTACTTTTCTTTCAAGTAATTAATCATTGATATATAGTATTAGATTTCATATTTTTTTTTCTGAATTAATTTTAAATCTTTTTTATATTTTATTAGTTTATCTATTTATTCTTAATTCAATTTTTTTTCATAATATTAAAAATTTATATCTTTTATTATTAATTTTTAGTTTAAGTTTTATATAGAAGTTTAGTTTATTTATTTTTTTTAACCCACAATTATGCCATCAGGATATGTCTTTATTGAGATATTAAAAGAAAATATCTACAATATATATGAACTTTCACTTGATAACTAATTCATTTTTGCATATTATTAGTTAAAAGATCACATTACTTAAAAAATATGAAGAGTCCACTAAGTTAGTTTGAACTAAATAAAACAAAATCTAAACTGGATACTCTAAGTCAAATTTTGGAACATTATTATACTCTTTTGATAGATTGGTTATATCTCTATCTATTAGAATTATTATTTATAATTTGTCATTATAGATTATCCTAAAAAATAATAAATTGTTGAATTACAAACTGGGAAAAAGAAAAAAAAATAATAATAATAATCCAAAGCCCTTCAAAAAAATTTTATTTAAGTAAATAGTCTTTTCTTAAAAAAGATCTATTTAATTAAGATATTCTCTAAACTTTGGATTATTTAAGAAATTAATCATTTCTAAATATTAAAACTTCAAAAAAAATATTTGAGAAACTTATTTTTTTATTGATATATGAATTAATTTATCACAAGATTAGTATTAACATCACATTATAGTATAGTTAACCTAATTGAGATAAAGAAGTCTCTACAAAAACTTTACCTGATCAGAATAGAAACTTGAAAACCTTAACTTTCTTTTTGAAAAAATTTTCTCACTATCTAAAAGATTTTATTAAAAAATAAGGATACTATATTTCATATCTTTCACTTGCCTTTTGATATTATAACTGTTTTTCTTGAGAATTTGCTCAGTTGGAAGATAACTTTTTATTAACTTTTCTTTTCAATTATCAATGATATCATTATAACAGATGAGTGTAATCAATAAAAGCTTATTTATATTCTAAAAACTAATATGTTTTGTGTCAGCCAATCACTTTTGATAAGAATTTGTACTACTCAAAATTCAGGATCAAATTGAGATAAATAAAGTTCCTCAAAAAATTATGAATGTGGAAGCTTTAAGTGAACACAAATAGACAAAAAGAAAGAAAATAAATCTTTTTATTGCAAAAATCTTTATAAATCTTTTGCTTCAAAAGGACTGACAAGTAAAATGTCACCTTACAGAGCTAAAAGTGACAAGAAATAGAGGTTTTATTGATAGGGAAAGGCTTATTTTTCACCTTCTCATATACTGTCTTATATCCTCTTAAAATACTTACTGTTTTTCATAGTTTTCTTGGGGAATTTTGCCTATCTCAGTTTGATATTGAATTTTTGATAGCACATTGTCATCTGGCATCTTATTGGTTGACATGAAACACATTAGTAGCTGAATGTAAACAAGTTCCTATTGGTTATCTTACATGTTCTAATGATGTTATTGGTAGTAAAAAGAGAAGTCAAGAATATGAACTCCTCCACTCCTTCAAATGAAGTTTAACTGAAACAAAAAAATCATGAGACTATTAGAATAGATACTAAATTTCCTAGGTGGTGAAAAAGTGATTATTTGTTCAAGCTGAGACCTTCAACTTCTTATTATCCCAGTCAAGCAAAGTACGTGAAAAGATTATTTCCTTATCCCAGTCAAGCTGTAAGACCGAAAAGTAGAGGAATATAAAATACTACCTTTCTTTAGGATTGAGATATATTTCCTCAAATATTGTATAATAATATCGCAATCAAGATGAATATCAGTAAAATTTCTTTAATTAGGTGTGGTTACTAAAAGATATTGGGAATTATTTAACAAGACTGAAAAGCCACATAAGAACCTGAGGTCCACTGTTAGCCATTCTGTTCTACGTAGGTGAATATAAAATCAAAACCAAAAGAAAGAAAGTATTGAGCAAGACATTAGATCTAAGTAAGTGATAAGTATTTCAGATGGTCATAAGAAAATAATCAAGAGCATGGCTGAATAAGTTCCTCAGATGGTTAGAAAGAAGAAGGATATTTCAAAAGAGTTGACTTCTAATGAGAAGTGATTTCTAGCAGAAGTCCTTTGGAGGACATGAAGTATTTTAATTTCTTTTTCTTTTCATTTTCATATAGTGCATTTGCACATTTTTAGATATACCCCT